GTGTACATATATTAATTAAGGTTTTTCTTATTCAACTGAAGCTTTCATGAGTGTATAATGCCCTTCTTTGTCTCTCATTTGTCTTTTAATGTCAATTTGTCAAAGATTAGTATTGCTCCTGGTTTTTGTTTATTTTTTTAACTGCTGTTAGGCTTGATATAAGAAAATCTTTTCTCATTGATTTTTAGTTCTACAGCTATCTTTATATTAAGGTAAATTTCTTGTAAGCAGTATATTAAAGACATGTTTTCTTATCCTTCTTCTTAGTTTTTGTCTCTTAACTGGTGATTTCAATCCATTTACATTCAATGTTGTTACTGGTTTAAGTATGGTTTTATTACCATCATTTTGTTATATTTTTAAATAGTGATACTGGTTTCAATGTTCAAGATAATTTTTTATGCTGCCTACTTGTTTATGGATTTTTTAAAATGCATAATTTTATTTATTTACTTTTCTGTAAGTTTAAAGCCGCGAAGGGTACAGCATCACACGGATTCTGTGTTCAATAGCCTGAGTAGGCAGGTTGCTCTGGAATTTGGCCTGAGCCATGCCACTGTTTCCATGGCTATGAGTTACCTTTCCTCACGTGACACTGGTTTTGTTAGGTTTGCCACCAAGAGCCACTGTGTTGTTCTTTGCTTTGTGCACATAAACAAAGCTCTTGCCTAAAAAAAATTCTGTTTCATCTTGGGCGTAAACACCTTCAATTTTAAGAAGATCCATGTGTCCCCTCTGGTTCCAAAGACACCGTTTATAGCCAGCAAAAATGTCTTTGGACTGCAGCCTTCCAGCATATTTGCTGTTTAGAAATTCTGTTCCCCTCTACTCAAGTGCTCCATCAACACAAGAACACTTTGTTCTAATAAGCTGGCATTCTGTGATGTTCACCTTCCTGACATGATCATCGCTGAAGACAAAATGGGTGAATAAGCAAATGTGGTGAAGAGAGCGGATGGAACCCAGCTATCAAAAGATATAGCATCTAGGGTCTTAAAGACTTGAAGCTAAACAAGTAGCCATGTAGCTGAGGAGCAACAAAGATCACATGGAAGAAGCACACCAGCCTGTGTGATCATGAGGTGTCCATGGGATCAGGCATCAGGCATCAAAGACCCAGAACAAAAGCTGGGAAGAGAATGCTTTGAAAATGATGATGGCAACATATGTGCAAATGTGCTTGACACACTGGATGAATGTATGGATTGTGATAAGAGAAGTAAGAGCTCCCAATAAAAGTATCTTTAAAAAAAAAAAAAGTAAACTTGTGTCAAACATAAAAAAAAAAACCAAAACCCTTAGGAACAGTAGTGGGAGTAATAATACCATGAGGGTAGGGGGATGGCAGCAGGGGAAGGGGGTGATAAGGGGGAGAAAGGGAGAACCCATCAGAAGGTTAGATATACAGCCCCACTTCCAAGGGGGAGGAGTAACAGAAATATGGACAGTGTAAGATACAAAATAACAATAATAACATAATTGATCAAGGATTCACGAGGGTGGGAGGTGGGGAAGGCAGGGAAAAAATGAGAAGCTGATACCAAGGGCTCAAGAAAATGTTTTGAAATTGTTGATGGCAACATATGTACAAGTGTGCTTGATACAATTGAATTATGAATTGTTATAAGATTTGTAAGAGCTCCCAATAAAATGACTAATAAAAAATTTAATTAAAAAAATTTAAAAATAATAAAATTATATCGATATGAGTGAGGGGGAGGGGAGAGTGGGGATCCAAAGTCAATCTGTAGACAACTGGACATCCCCTTACAGAAGGGTCGTAAGGAGGAGACAAGCCAGTCAGGGTGCAGTATAGATAGCATTGATGAAATGTACAACATTCCTCTAGTTCTTTAATGCTTCCTCCTCAACCCCCTCCCCCCACTATCATGACCCCAATTCGGCCATACAAATCTGGCTAGACCAGAGCATGTACACTGCTACAGATAAAAACTCACAACACAGGGAATCCAGGACAGAGAAACTCGCCGGACCAATAATGAGAATAGCTATACCAGGAGGGGAAGGGGAAGGGGGAGGTGGGGGGTGAACGGGGCAACAGATCACAATGATCGACATACAACGCCTCCCAGGGGGATGAACAACAGAAAAGTAGATGAAGGGAGCCAGCAGTCAGTGTTTAAGACATGATAAAAATAATAATTTATAAACTATCAAGGGTTCCTGAGGGAGGGAGGATGGAGGAGGGTGGGGAGGAAATGAGCTGATACCAAGGGCTCAAGTAGAAAGAAAATGTTTTAAAAATGATCATGGCAACATATGTACAGATGTGTTTGATACAATTACTGTATGGATTGTGATAAGAGCTGTAAGAGCTCCCAATAAAATAAAATTAAAAGGAAGAAAAGAGTTACAGTCTCAGAACAACTCAGGGGCAATTCTACCCTCTCCTATAGGGTTGCTCTGAGTCAGCAGGGACTCAATGGCAGTGAGTCTGCTTTGGGTGCAGTACTAGTTCCAGT